TGAGAATGAAATTATTTTGCATTACTGCACACTAAAAGTTTATTCATAAACCATAAAGTTTATCAATTTATGGAAATATGGCGAGATTTGAAGTGTGACATCATTACAATGTATTGAATTACCCCACTGAGTACATACGCGACCAGGCTAAGAATGACACACAACGACGAATATATACTATTAGTCCTTTTGGGGTCGCGTAGCTGCATGCTATGTATCGGGAGGCCTCGCAGTGCCTCGGAAGGTCGTCTCCAATTGGATGGGGGTTTTCTAAAGAACGAAGTAATTCATTGTTATAAACACAAAAGCAATTGTCATATCGAGCCAATGAAAACCACTCTTCCGAGCTACTGCGAGGCTACCCTATGTATCAGGGACGTGCTGGTGTCTTAAAAAGGACAACGAATGAGCAACGTCTGATGGGGCCCAGGCCCGGTAACAGATGTTTCAAGATTAATATTTTTCCCCAAAATTGTTGGCGGGGAGGGGGATTTTTTCCGGACGTACAAAAATTTTTCCAGATATATCGTAATTTTTCCGGACATACAAAAATTTTTCTGGACATATTTTTCAAGCTTGCCCAGTGTGGATACACACTCAGAGTAACATCACAAGCATATCATATCGTAATTTTGTTACATTTTTCCGTAATATTTTCGTAAATTTAAATTTTTACAATATAAATTGTAATGTCGTAATCTTGATTTTCAAAATTAAAATCTATGTTTTTAATTTTTTCTAATGTTTTCATTTTAGGGGCCCATGATTTTGAAAATTTGACATGATATTTTGAAATCTGAGACCTCCCAAAGCCCCGGAAATGCAATCAAATTTACTAGTTGCTATTAAAAAGTTTCTTAATAGACGACTTTTAGGCCCCAGTTACACGATACCGGATTCGCATCGGAGCGACATCAAATTTTACTCGAGGTGAATTTGGCACTTAAAATTCTGATAATATAACATAATTAAACAAAAACTTCATATATGAAAAGTTGTAATAGCAGACAAGACTGGAAAACACTTTAAATTGATGTCGCTCCGATACTGAATCCGGTATCGTGTAACTGGGGCCTTAATCTAATGTTACCCGTCATTTGTTTAAACCAACCAGTAATAGATTGAATACTTATACACTAATAAGTTATAAATATATCGTTAACTGATCTGAAAGATTTCAGTATCCTTAGTTTATAAAAATTACATATGTATGGAAATTGTTGCCCCTCCCCCCTGCTCCGCGATCCCTGAAGTTACGCCCGTTGTGCTCTAAATAAAGCCTGTTCTAAATGCCATATTTGATAATTGAATTTTTGGCGGCAACATATTGTGTTTGGCGGTTCTACCTATCAAATATGCTACATATACTTTGTGTCGCTATGTCGTTTAACTGTCAATCTGGGCTTGTTTTGCTAACCGATTATAATCATTATCCTGCTGAGTAAATTTCGAGTAACCAAAATTTCCGTTTCTTATATAACAGGTGAAAATCATATCGGTAGTAGTTTTATTCGTCAAAAATATTTTTGTCTGCCGACTGAAATAGTAGTCCTGCCGACTGAAGCTTGGAATAGAATTTCTGGGGGGTGTCACACCCCCACACCCCCTCGTAGCTCCGCCCCTACACCTATACTATGTATCATATGACATGGCACATACATGCATGTCATATACATTGCTCCCAAGGCAAAGAGCAAGGAATTCGCATCATTGACATGCATAGTCGACTTAATTTTTGGTGAACCCATGCATGCACCATGCAAAGACCACCTATTTGCCCAGTTCTGTCTGTGTATTATTCTTAGCTAGGTAGTATATATTTTCAGGTAGTTGCATTCCTACCAATGAAAGCTTGCTAAAGTCGTTATATAATGTTACTAGTCTACTTGTTTCAGGAGTAAAAAAACCTTCATAGAAAGCATTGCTTGTTCATACATAATACGCGTACAAACTTTTAATTATTGAAACACACTAGCCTCAATATACACGCAGTATGATACATAATAAGAAGATTAAAATAAGAAATAACGAAAGTAGAAGCAAGAGAACACTAGTCACTATGAATTATATATCATATCCAGATTCAAAGATGAAAAAAATTATCGTTTTAAAGCTGTAGTGTAACTTATTTTTCAGTTTCTTGTTTTTATGGTTTGTAGGCTAGGTTTGTTCCCGAGATATTTCAATTTGTTTGATATGTAAATGAGTGTGAATATGTCCGCTAAATTATGACGTCACATTGGTTGCAAGCTCTTCAAAATAGTTGGATATCACAGCTACCTTCCAAGATGATAATTTCAAACTTTACTCACTGGTAAATGTGATGAAACACTGGAGAAAAACGTGAACTGATATCTACAGTTTTTAGAGTTAATAGATTTATAACCAGTGTAAGGTCACACTCATTTACATATCAAACAAATTGAAATATCTCGGGACTGACAAACCATAAAAACAAGAAACTAACTGAAAAATAAGTTACACTACAGCTTAAAGAGTTCTTTCATTTAAGAAGAAAATATGAAATTTGATGTCATATACACTTTAAAGGAACTTACAGATTAATTTTTTACTCATATGGTAGGCTATTCCAAAGTGCAGCACCATTATAGTTACAGCACCTCTTGCCGAAATAGCACCTCTTAGGAAGTGCTAAGTCAGTTTCTCTATTTCTAAGATTGTAGGTGTTATCCGTTTCTTTATTTAATTGGAAGGACCATTTTAGATTGGGTGCGGTGTGGTCGTTCACAATTTTATGGATGAAGATTGATTTTAGGCAGTTGTGGTTTACTCTAGGGGTTTTCCAGTAAAGATTTTCAAGCAGATTAGGAGATCAATTTCCTATAGGTTGCCCCAGAAATTACTTCTGCCGCACAATTTTGATATTTCTGCAGCCTGTCATTGAGCCCAATTCAACAATTGTCCCAGAGCGGGCTGCAGTAACCAAAGTAAGCTTAATTAAGGTTGATCAATGGTATTATATTTCATTGTTTCACTCGTTTAAAATACCTAATTTTATTTGCTACCAGTCACCATGCATAATAATTTATCTTAATTTGTAATGAACTTGGCACAGACACATTGATTCTCAGATTCTATTAAATATTAATTATAGAGCTGTAGAGCCGGAACTGTAGAGTTGTAGAGCAGCAGAGTTGTAGAGCTGTAAAGTTGTAAAGTTGTAGAGCTGTAAAGTTGTAGAGCGGTAGAGTTGTAGATTTGTAGAGTTGTAGAGCTGTAGAGTTGTAGAGATGTAGCGTTGTAGAGCTGTAGAGTTGTAGAGTTGTAGAGTTGTAGAGCTGTAGAGTTGTAGAGCTTTAGAGTTGTAGAGCTGTAGAGTTGTAGAGCTGTAGAGCTGCAGAGTCGTAGAGCTGTAGAGTTGTAGAGTTGTAGAGCTGTAGAGTTGTAGAGCTATAGAGTTGCAGAGCTGTAGAGCTGTAGAGTTGTAGAGCTGTAGAGTTGTAGAGCTGTAGAGTTGTAGAGTTGTAGAGCCATAGAGTTGTAGAGCTGTAGAGCTGTGGAGTTGTAGAGCTGTAGAGTTGTAGAGCTGTAGAGTTGTAGAGTTGTAGAGCTATAGAGTTGCAGAGCTGTAGAGCTGTAGAGTTGTAGAGCTGTAGAGTTGTAGAGCTGTAGAGTTGTAGAGCTGTAGAGTTGTAGAGCTATAGAGTTGCAGAGCTGTAGAGTTGTAGAGCTATAGAGTTGTAGAGCTGTAGAGTTGTAGAGTTGTAGAGCTATAGAGCTGTAGAGCTGTAGAGCTGTAGAGTTGTAGAGCTGTAGAGCTGTAGAGTTGTAGAGCTGTAGAGCTGTAGAGTTGTAGAGCTTTAGAGTTGTAGAGCTGTAGAGCTGTAGAGCTGTAGAGTTGTAGAGCTGTAGCGCTGTAGAGCTGTAGAGTCGTAGAGCTGTAGAGTTGTAGAGTTGTAGAGCTGTAGAGTTGTAGAGCTATAGAGTTGCAGAGCTGTAGAGCTGTAGAGTTGTAGAGCTGTAGAGTTGTAGAGCTGTAGAGTTGTAGAGTTGTAGAGCTATAGAGTTGTAGAGCTGTAGAGCTGTGGAGTTGTAGAGCTGTAGAGTTGTAGAGCTGTAGAGTTGTAGAGTTGTAGAGCTGTAGAGTTGCAGAGCTGTAGAGCTGTAGAGCTATAGAGTTGCAGAGCTGTAGAGCTGTAGAGTTGTAGAGCTATAGAGTTGTAGAGCTGTAGAGTTGTAGAGTTGTAGAGCTATAGAGTTGTAGTGCTGTAGAGCTGTGGAGATGTAGAGCTATAGAGTTGTAGAGTTGGTTCAGCATTTTTTTTTTGGAAGCAACGGTTCAGCATTTTTTTCGGAAACAATGGTTCAGCATTTTTTTTATCCCGAAAAAACACCAGTCGGAAAATTCCGTTGTCATGGCAACATAATTTTTCAACCCCAGTTTACTTCTGGTATTGATCTACATAACAGCTGTGTAAGATTTCACGCTTCGTGTAGCGCTGTAGAGCTCTACAACAAACCCTACGCTTTTTTTGCTATCCTAAAACTTGACGGGTCTACTGAAAACATATGATGCCATTGCCGGTTATAAAAATTTGACTATAATATCACGTGTTTAGGAATTACATGCTTGGTTACCTTTCTCCATTCTATGCTTACATTATCAGAACAGTGACCACAGTAGCTATAGAAAGTTGCTAACATGCAAGTCGCACAAAGGTGTATTGATGTACATGTGGCCTTGATCCATATTCTTATTGAAGAATTGCAGTAACTAATTTATCTGTCTATAAGATTACAACGTCCAAATATTTGAGCTATATGGGGCGTGAAGTTGAACTGTTTCATCCACACTTGGTTATAATATTTTTAAACCGATCTGCCGATATCAAAAACCCGGCCTTAACGCGCTCTAACACTATGCATATTTGGGCATAGTTTGGGAAAGCCTCAGAAGAAAAAAAACACGCATTCCAAAGAAAGGTAGAAAGGTAAATGTATGGAAATACTTTGCTTGGAACTCACGACTTTGTATTCGGGACCCACGCCTTTTTACCCACGCCTTTTAACCCACGACCCACGCCTTTTTACCCACGACCCACGCCTTTTTACCCACGACCCACGCCTTTTTACCCACGACCCACGCCTTTTTACCCACGACCCACGCCTTTTTACCCACGACCCACGCCTTTTTACCCACGACCCACGCCTTTTTACCCACGACCCACGCCTTTTTACCCACGACCCACGACATTCTACCCACGACCCACGACTGTTAGCTAGTCCCATTGATTCAATGCCAATGGTAGTATTTTATTATTCGGCTTTATATTTGTATGTGTATTGATATCTATTTAATATTTGAAGAATTCTATATTTTTCCGAGTAATATTTTGTGCGGCCCGCTAATGCTTTGTATTATTGTTCATATACTGTATACATTATGTATAATTTTAATATTCAGTATTTCTTCGTTGCACAATGTACACGCCTTGCGTCAATTTGACAGCTGACAGTTTATTTATCTCAGTCGACGCTGATTGGTTCGCATTTAGCAGATGCGAAAAGGGGATGATTGAATAAAACGCATGGTTCCGTGCAGGCTCACCTTTCTTCCAGTGAGCCTGTTCGCAGGCTATTAACTATGCTCAGACGGATCGTAAACTCAAGATTTTCCGTCCGTACCATCCGTACGATTCGTACGGATGGTAAGGTGTTTCGTGGGGTGCATGCAGGATGCGCAGCATGATGCAATTATTTAGATCAGACCACGTGATGGAAAGGAAGTCACGAAACGAAAATATAGGTTACGGATGGTAAATAATTTTGTCTATCCGTATGCATGCGACAGTATTGGACATGTATGAATTTTTTTGCGATTACATGGACGATTTCAACCCCGGGATTGAAATGCTATACGTTCCCGACATTGATTCCCGGAAGTAAAGAAAAGCGGCTCCATAGCCTCCATTCTGTTTTCTTGTAATAAATATAGTCACTACTACGCATGCTCGAATAATTTCAGCCCTGGGTTACATGATTACATGACAAAATTTTCAACCCAGGAATGAGTTCAACCCCAGGGTTGAAATTCCAACCCTGCATGCTAGCTGAAGCAGGGTTAAAATTTCAACCCCGGGGTTGAACTCGGCCCTGGGTTGAAAATGTAATTATGCGTGAGAGTTTTGTATTACAGACAGGGCTGAAATTTCAACCCGATCTGCAAGGCTGAGTTCAATCCCGCGGGGTTGAAAATGCTTCATGTATAATCGGCCCTAAGTATCTTAATATAATATGCTTATAACTGTATGCACCTCAGGGGTAATCAATCTACATTTATCTAACACGTATATTATATACAGGACTATAGACATTCACACAAAACTAGAAGTCGCTAACACGGGCATGTTTGCATAGCTATTTTAAAACTAGTGCTAAGAAATTTAGGTTAATCACGCATGTAAGACTACTTTTTTCACGTGTCCATGCATCTATATGCGTGCGTTAATAATTAATTTTATATACAAATCAACAATATGCTTTTCTCACGTGTCAGCCATGTTGAAACGAAAAACAAGGCAAATTACGCAACGAAGATGCAACTTGATTGCCTCTTTTTCTGCTGTTCGTGCGTTATTAGCCTCGTTTTAATTCTAACATGGCTGACACGCGAGGAAGGCCCATATGTCATCTTTAAGATTCTACCATAGTTTTTTGTAGCATTTCACTGGTCCGTTATTTTCAGTGCCACGATAGCCGCCTCTTTCCGTTCATGAAAACAGATTGCGTTCTATGTGAGTGAAAGCCCATGTGCCTTTTATCGAGCTCGTCAGCCGTTTAGCGTGGCTGCTAGACGAATAGCTAGGATTACCACTAATTGGAAAAGAGTTGTGATTTAACTATAACTCAAGTTAACACGGAATTTATGCACCTTTGCGATTAAGCCGTAATATTAAAACATGTTTATCGACAGTCAACATGGTCTCTTATTCCTTGTCATGTACATCATCATACAGCTGTTCATATTAAGATTGCATCTAATTAATTGTTGCACCACAAGACTTTGGCCCATAGGGGTGACGGCCTTTAGAGGGAGGTAAGTCTCACCAGCAGGCCTAGAAAATATATTTCTCTTCCTGGCAGCAAAATCCAAAAATAAAAATTTCCTGTTTAAGTCAATTATAAGACTTCCTGCATATGTAGATTTCAGAGAACGGATGGCGCTGCACATGCGATAAACTTCAATCTTAGCACAAGACAATCTTGACTGGCAAAATGCTTTTGGACTTTTTAAACAATAAGTAAATTATATGGCATTTAAGTACAGACACTATAATAATATTAGCCTGCGAAGAGGCTCTCAAGCTGAATTTAGAGCCTGCATCGATGACTTATGAATTTGAATATCTGCCCCGTAACGTTCGTTTTTCCAAATATGGAATGTCTATCCTTATATGGTGTTGTTTACAACTTTCGTGCAAACTAAATTTAGACTGTACAGTTTATACTGTTTTTCGAAATATAAGATATTCAAGCAAAAGTTCAAATGTTTTAAATACTGTTTTCTCAAAACAGAACATTTCGTGCTTTGAGATCTAGATAAGACAGTCAAGACCAATTTGATCAGTTAATGTGTTTTTTGTGCATAGTTCAGCAGTTGACATATATAGAGCTCAGCGGAGACATATAAATTATAGCATCTGACCAATGAGAATTTCGCGTCACGATTTGAGACGCAGATATTCAAATTCATTAGTCATCGATACAAGCTCTCAATTCAGCTTGAGAGCCTGTTCGCAGGCTATAATAATATGTTAGAGTTATAATCCACACTGACTGCATGATATTATATATAAGATGACGGGAATTTCCTGTAAGATGTAAGAAAATTTCCTGGGAAGATATTTTGTCAAAAATTTCCTGGCAGCGCTGCTGCATGCTGGCGCTGCTGAACATTTTCCAGCACTGCTCACCAGGATGGGGTTGTTTGGATCAACCACCCCACCATTAGGGTGAAGGGGGCAATGACCCGGTTAGTGTCATTCAGGAGTTCAGGGTCTGGGTGTGGGGAGTGGTACTCAAAGCAGGGTGGGTGCACTTCTATGATAATACACATCATAGAATCAAGGAAGCTTGTGTAATGCTATAGATCATAATAAATATGGAACATGCTTTCGAAAGAATAATAAAAAGAGCATTTGCCACTGACTTATCTTATAGTTTACCTCGACTGCTCAAAAACAAAATCTGTTATTGCATATTCCATATAGGTCCTTGTCGAAGAAAGTAAACGCCTACTGATATTTTGCTATTGTTTCTGGGCGAACTATATTTTGAAAATTTATTTTCAAATAAGTTTTAAAAACAAAATTGTCCTTTTTGAATAAGATAACTGCTTGCGTATTTATGTTAGGTTTTCTGCGCCTACAACTTGAAGACCATATTTAACAGCAAACTTATATAGCACAATTTGGCACTAAAAACAAAATTCTAAATTTGTTTACTAACTATAAAGTAAAACAATCTTGAATCCTAAGTTTATAAAATTCCGAGCGCTGCTTTTTTTAAACGCATGTCATAACCGAATTTTCTTTTAGAGCAAGGACACCAATTAGATAGAGTGAAATCGGACACCAAGATGGAGTAAAAATACAGATTAAGGTGGCTGAATACAGTTTTTAAAAAAATGGAAAATTCACGATTTAGATGCATAATTTTGGACAATTATTACTTGTTGATAAACCAAAAGTACCCGGCTCACTTATATAAAACAACATCGAAAGAGTTGGAATTTTTGCACAAAAGTTACGCAAATGCCGTTGCTCTGGCAACAACAACGTTTCAAGATGGCGGATATTTTGGCTTTAAAGTAATTTAGCTCGTAAACGACATCGGTGACCCCCAAATTTTATTTAAAAAAATGATTTCTCTTAGTATAATCAATTATTTTGACAATTTAAAAAATTATGGAAAGCAAAAACAAAATTATTATGAATAATCACCTTTACGTAATTTAAAAAATTTCTGTTTTCACAAATTTTTTTAAAATTGTCAATATAATTCAATATACTAAGAGAAATCATTTTTAAAATAAAATTTGGGAGTCACCGATGTCGTTTACGAGTTAAACTTTAAAGCCCAAATAGCAGCCATCTTGAAACGTCATTGTTGCCATAGCAAGAGCAACTGCGTAGTTTTTGTGCAAAAATTCAAACTCTTCAGATGTTGTTTTATATAAGTATAGGGTACTTTTTATTTATCAACATATAATAATTTTCCAAAACGCATCTAAATCGTGAATTTTTTATTTTTTTCAAAACTGTATTGAGCCACCATAACCGCTCAAAATCCAGTATTCTTATATTTGTTTAATGAAATGTTGCTTTATCTTCTTCTCAGTGGAGGTAACTCTATTGCTTCAGGCGGTTGTCGTCTTCTTGAGCTTGATCGACACATTCGCTGAAACAGATTTTTGAAAGCCGCTCTGTACGTTTGGTCCATACAGGCATAAACTATAGGATTGCATAGACTGTTAAAATAAGGAAGTTTGTTTAGTACCACATCAGCTATGTATAACCGACGCAAGTCGCTATGCGGTTCAATCAAATGATTTGGATTGTAGCACACAAGCAATACAAAAATACAATAAGGACCCCAACAAAGTATAAACACTCCCACGACGACCAATAACATTCGAATAGCCTTTAGATCTTGAAGAAAGGCACTTCGTTGGTTCCGATCATTGCAAGTTTGACCCAGTTCGCCATTTCTCATCATCTTTTGTCGTTTATGAACAACAACAAAAATGAGAGTGTACATAACCAGCATCACTGCGGTAGGTAGAAAAAATGCACTTATTGCTAGTAAAGTATAGTATCTTTTCATTTCATCAAGATCGAAGGTTCCGCAGGGCAGTTCATTGTTGTTTCCTGAATCAGGAATGGCGGCGTAGGTTGCAAAGGCAGCTGAAATGAACCAAATGATAAAGATAATTTTCAATGATTTGGAAGTTGTCATTCTGAATCTATATTGAAGTGGCTTTCTGATCTTGAGATATCGGTCAAAACTGATGAATGTCAGTGTACAAATAGATGCTGCTAACGCAAAGGCATCTATCCACGCCACAAAACGACATGGATAAAAAGACAGGGTATGTTGCGATTCATAATCGTATTTAGTGTAATACACCCTTACTGGGTCTAAAATCATACCAACCAAAAGATCAGCGACAGCAAGAGAAGCAATAAAATATTTATTTGGTTGATGAAGACTTGCTTCTCTCCAGGTTGCTACCAAAACCAAAGTGTTGCCAACAATTGTACAAATGGCGAAAATAATGAATATGATTTTATCTGCTAATCCAAGCTCGTCCAGAAATTTCATCGTGTATATACGAGTCCATAGATCATTTGTATGATTATACGTAGCACTGGTATTGTTTCACAACAGCATTGCAAAACTAGCTCCTAAGGAATAGATAAGAATACGGCATGAGTCAGACAAATTCTAACAGGTCAGCATTCTGCATGTACTTGTCAATCCTTCATGTATTGACTTCATAGTCACATAACTTTTAAATTATTTCCATGTGTTATATACTTATTTCCATGATATGTACGGATACATTTGCAACAGATCAAAATACTATAAATTAAGCAGAACCAAGTAACAATTAAAAATAATTGACATATATATAACACTTCTTACAGCTGTCATTTTGCTAATATAATTGGCATGTAGTAAAACACTGACTACCGGAACACCGGAACACCACCAGAACACCGGAACACCACCGGAACACCGGAACACCACCGGAACACCGGAACACCACCATTTTGTTTGGGGTTAGGGTTGGGGGTTAGGGTTGAGGGTTAGGGTTGGGGTAAGGGTTAGGGTTAGGTGGTGTTCCGGTGTTCCGGTGATGTTCCGGCGGTGTTCCGGTGGTGTTCCGGTGTTCCGGTAGTCAGTGTTTTACTACATGCCAATATAATTACGTCTGTCTAATTCGAGAGTGCGTGATGAAACACATGCGAAATAAATAGTTTCATGGGCGTACGGGAAGGAAAAAATTAGGGGGGTGGAAAGAAATTTGCCCGACTTTTTCGGATTGTGCCCGAATTGTCAAAAAAAATTTTCCGGAAAAACTTTCCAAAATTGTTGTCGACGGGGGT